GGGCCCAGAATCGGCGGTCCACGGCATGAACCTGCCCCAGTAACACCATGATTTCCACATTGCTGGGGCCTGTGCCTTGTGAGAGGTCCATGTCAATTTCCTCATCACTATCGTCGCCGCGCTGCAATCGCCTCCTCCTCAGCTGGTCCTGGTTTGGCTTTGGCATGTCCAGGAGGCTCTGCATATGCTCCAGGACAATGCGCGTGGTGTTCATAGTGCTCATAATTGCCGCGGTGATCTGAGCGGGCTCCATGATCCCAGTGCTGGCTATGGCGTCTGGTCTGAAAAAAGGCGCGAAAGTAGTATCTGACGGACCAGGGGAAGAAGGGAGGGAGGGAGAGAGGGAGGGAGGGAGGGGCGAGTGACGACATGCCGTACAGGTAGGGAGAGAGGGAGGGAGGGGCGAGTGACGACATGCCGTACAGGTACAGGGAATTAAAATCAAGAAAGGCGGCTTTGCATCAGGGAGAAAGACAAACAACTGTCACACAGAATGCCCCCCCCCAAAGATTGAACTCAAAAGCCTGGGTTTAGCAGGAGGGAGGGGGGAAGCAAATGAATGCAGAATAAATCTATTTTTTACATCTTAAGACGACAGTGCAGCATGACTGATAGCCCTTGGCATTTTCTGGGTGCTTGGCAGCAAATACTGGGCGCTTGGCAGTAAGCCTTCAGGTCTATTGCACGATCTGATACCCACTGCAATATGACAATGATGGATACCAATCGTAATATGCTATCTACTGCCCAAAAGGCACGGGGTTGCTGCTGTGTAGCAATCTAGCCCCACGTCTGCCAGCCCCATGTCTGCCAGCACCCAGATCGCCATCGGCCTCTTCTGGGTGCTTCGCAGACAATACTGGGCACTTGGCAGAAAATAGCATGCTACGACTCTGCTAACGTGCAATGATCCAACAGGGCGCCTGGCAGAAAATAGCATACTACGACTGATAACCATCATTGTCTGCCCGGGTGCCCATGATCGACAGCCACTGCAGTACGACGACGACGGATACCAGTCATAATATACCATCTCCTACCAAAAGGCAAGGGGCTGGTGCAATGCAGCACCACGGCTGCCAGCCCCACAGCTGCCAGCACCCAGATCGCCAATGAAGGCTACCAGTCATGCTGCACCGTCTACCGCCAAAAGGCAGTAAGCTGCTGCTGCTGTTTAGCAATGCAGTCCCACGTTTGCCGGCACCCGGAAGACATATGGTGACGGTGAGCTGAGCTGAGCGGGCTCAATGCTTGGCATGGTATGTTGTCTGCACAGGTAACCCAGGTAAAAAGGCGCGAATCTATTGTCTGCCGTTGCTGTGACGGCGGGGGAGGGGCCTGACGCAATGTACCCAGAACCCCTCGCGGCACTGCTTTGCATCATCCGGGCATTGCGATCTCAACCCATAATTCCAATGGGCGCCGGAGACTCCGGGAACTGTGGGATAGGTACCATAGTGCAATGCGCCGGAAGTCAACGCTAGCCTCGGTACTGTGGACGCGGTCCGCCGACTTCATGCACTTAGAGCATTTTATGTGGGGACACACACAATCGGCTGCATACAACCGGTTTCTATAAAACCGGCTTCTATAAATCCGACCTAATTTTGTAGTGTAGACATACCCTAAGCCATATGAGAGACTGGACAGTTCACAGCTTGCCTGGATATTTGCCTTTTTTAAATGTGACAATACCATTAGGAACATTTGGGGAACAGCATAATCTCGGGCATAAGAAAATATTTGATGGCTTCCACATAATTAAAATGGAAAAACACTGTATGACAATTGTTATATTAATATCACCAAAACAAGAAGTGCCATTAGTTAAGAAAAAGTCTCCTTTAAATCTGCTAAGCACATGGCTATGACTTGCAAGATAAACACATGTGTTAGGCCTACCCTACAATATGCCTTGTCCCCAAGGGATGAACATGCTGTGTCCACAGCATTTGTGTATAACTTTTTAAGAAGTACTTTTAATCCAAAGCAGGAACCATGTACTGTGTAACTTCATACTTGTGATCATATGGATCTGTAGCTTGGAATCACAATTGGAGCTGCGCACACATTTGTACTGAAACACAAACCCAAGCCAAATCTGCCAAGTGTGGTGGTTTCATTACTAAACCAGTGCTTGGGCCAGCATTCACTGAAAAGTTTGCTGCGTCTCACAAATCTCTTGGTGAGCCTAGGCAGAGTTCTGTTGAACTGAAGCCATAGAAAAGGTATCTGAAGTCTTGGTAACAGAGAGAAGTCATACACAGCTCCAGTCAAAACAGTAAAATTTGGACATGTGTACGAATTACGACCCCTGTACAGGTACTGAGTTCTAAATTAGCAAAAAAGCATTTTTAAATTATCACTTAGAAAAAATAAAAACCCAAACGGAACTTGTCTATACAACAGGCAAAGAACTGGTGAAATTTCTTGGGAAATGAGAATGCTGTTTGTGTTCTAGGATATCAAGAGAGAAGGATAGAACAGAAAACTTCGATTCTCCACACTTATTTCCTTTTAATAGTTGAAAATCTGTAAAACTCCCTTCCTGAGCATAAAACAGCATCAGGCTGGAATGGTGACTAACGTAACAGGAATTCCATTTGCACCAACCCTGTCAAGAGATGGCACTTTCAGGTGCTCTCTCTTTCCCAGGGCTAGTCCTGGCAGGCAAGTGTGAAGGGAACAGGGCCTTTACTCGAACACAGAATTTGTTGGATCTGGAACTGTTCCAACAAATCAGAGTGAGCAATGGCTGTTGTCCATTGGCAGGATGAAGGAGAACAGGGCTACCTTCTTTTGTCTGTTCCATTCTGGGATTCCCCTTTTGTGTCATCCTGCCCCCCTTCTCCAGCCCTTCATTAGTGATTCACAAGGAAGCCTGTAGGGCACAGCAATTGAACAGCTGGTGGGGTGGAAAGCTGTGCTTGTAAAATGTAGGTGGTTGTATTCAGTTCTGGGAACTGAGACTCTGATGGGGGCAGGGGAGGGATGCTGCCAGAAGTGCAGCAAGGGGTTTCTCACAAGATTTATTTTGGGAACGGAGATATGAGGGGCAGAGGTTGGTGGATGCTCTCAACAGCTGTTCCTCCCAAGCAGGATGGAGGTTATAAAGAGGAGGCCCCTTGCGTTTTTATTGCTCTCATTGTTAGTTGAAATTTTGTTCATCCAGGAGAAGGAAATTGTTTACAGGCCCTTAACACCAGCTCTCCAGATGTTGCGAGCAGCAGATGTTTTCCTGGTTGTTGGAGCAGTTCTCTCCAGGGACTAAACAGAAGAGTATGTTTCCAAAACATCAAGTCTTGACATTTTTGATTCACTTATAACTAGGGGAATCCCCCTCCCCACCTTCCTCTCTTACTGCAGTATGACAGTCATCGTCAGGTGTCAGGTAGCATTATCGGTGCACTGCAATGCTGTCTCTGCTTCCCCAGATCTGAGGCCCAGAGATGCTTTTCATTTCCCTGACCTCTGCTTTCTATCTATCTATGTGAGATGTGTAGAGTACTTCAGCCAATCCATCCTTACAATTCAGTGAAGATACAGCAGGGGTTAATTTGGCCCCTTGCATTTAAGGTCTGTGTTTAGAGAAAGGCCAGTCCCTATAGGGAAAAGATGAGGATCCCCTACGGCTGCATTTGATAAATGCCCAACTACGAAAGTAAAGTAAATCCACTGGGAACAAGCATTACATTTGCACTGGAAGGACTTGATGTTTCTCAGGAAAGGTGTCATAGCTAGAGGCACTGTATAGTCACAGTAGTGCAAGCTGTCACACATGGGTTGAACAATGTGCCGCAAACCTGACCTAAAAGGCCTGTGCTTGGGGCTGAGAGAGTGGCTATGGGGGGTGAATTATTCAGAATCCTTGGCTCCTCTGCTGAGACTGTCTGGAAGCATGCTACTTAGTGCAAGTTGTGTTGGTGGGTTTTTGATGCAGACCCCCAGCTTACCGATGGGAGACTGCCAGTTGATATCCAGAAAAGCTAAGCAGCTGCGCTGGTGCAGTGATTTCTGACATTACTGACCTGATCCAAATTTGCCCCCAGGTGATCCTCAGTCACCTGAGCCAGCTAGTCCTACTTCTATTTAAAACTACTGAGAAACAGTCAGGGCAGGAGAGATGAAAGTGAGGACAAGAACTCTAATAGCTAAAGGCCGTGTCTTTGAATTGACAGCTTGATGCCAGGCAAAGCTTCTAGAGAAGTGAATATGAATCCTGTGCCCCTCTTGACTATCTAAAATATATTACATTTTATCATTATTCATAAGTACTGACCGTTTGCTTACGGCTCTGCAAGACACAGAAGATGACGTATTGGCCTGATAATGAACTGGGGTGAAACTAGTGTGAGGTCAGAGACTTCAGTGGAATTGCTCCTGATTTACACAAGTGTAAGACCAGAATTAAGCCCACAGTTGCAGTCCTGAGGAGCACACAGTCTACTGTAAACAGAGACAGACAACATTAGGGATGCTTTACTGCCTTGGGGAGGAGTGAGAGACTATTTTTGACTGCAGTGGGTAGCATTTGTGGGCTTGGCAGGAGTGAGTTTTGATTTAAATTGAGAATTGCCAATTATAATCAGTGTTACTTGAAATCCTATTCTTACAGTGCAATGGGATCATGACCAGGCCCTTGATGTAGAGCCCTGCTCTCTCGCTCTTTAATTCCTGAGAGAGGAAAGCGATGCTTTATTGACTGTCCGAGTCAGCAGCGGGTGAGAGGGAGGAAAAGTGCTTTCTGTTTGTATGGTGCAGTCCTATTAAAGCCTCTGAGCAGATACTGGAGAAAAATATCACCCTGATTGGGTTGGGGATCAATCTCAATGGAGATTTCCCTGGGTCAGCATTTTGTGTAACTCTTGAAATCTAACTAAAGCATCCACCATATGAAAGATGCTGACCCTTCAATAGTTAAGTTCTTAAATTGGTTTATTCCAGGCAACCCATCTTCTCATTCCCAGCACTAACACTTGCCCTTTTCTCTCTCTGTGCAGGGCAAGGGTGTCACCTGTCTGATCAAGAAGTATTAAAACTGGGCAATGCCTTCTATATAGCTGCAGAGCACAAGGAGCTGGGGAGGTGCTCCTTTATTCTCCTTGGAGGGGGAGAGACTTTGAGGTAAAACCTTGGACTCCCCAGTCTCTCCCCATGGATAAAGGACACACTTTACCCCAGGATATCCGGGACTTGCGGCACTGCCTGAGAATGAAGAGCAAGTATGCCATTCTCCTGGTGTTTGTTGTAGCTCTTGTCATTATCGAGAAAGAAAACAATATCATATCAAGGTAGGAAAAAAGGGAGAGCAAGCTCTTGCTATATTGGGAGGGGATTTCTCTTCATCCTTGATGTAGCCTTCACCTCACCTTTCTGCTTTCCGGCCATGTACAACTAGATACATTTCTCCCTCGTGGAATGTGAAGCCCATTAATGCCTATCACCTTCTTTCCATTACAATCCCAGTCAGTCACTACAATTGCCTACAGTGAAAGGCCTTCTTCCCAGCAGTGCTTAGCGTTGGTTCCTCCAGTTTTTTCCTCTCTTTCAGTAAACAGCCTGCCCCATCAACCAAACTTTTTTATGCCTTAGTTTCCTGGTTATCTCCAGTGACCCCCAGGACAAATACACTGGAGATGGGCATCATAGAAGATCATAGCCAGGTAGGCTATGACAAGTGAGGAGATGCCAAAGTGTCTAGCTGAAGCTGCCAACTTGCCCATACCGAGGGAATGAGGAGGGTTTTTATTTAGGCTATGTTTACACTTAAAATGCTACTGTGGCACACCTGCAGTGGTGCAGCTGCAGCAGCGTTTCAGTGCAAACACTCACTATAGTGACAGGAGAGTTCTCCCTTCACTGTAGTTAATTCACTTCCCTGAGAGGCAGTAGCTAGGTCAACGGAAGACTTTTTCTGGCCACAGTGCTGTCTATACTGGGTTATACTCAGCTTAACTATGGCCTTGGCTACACTGGCGCTGTACAGCGCTGCAACTTGCTGCGCTCAGGGGTGTGAAAACGCTCCCCCCCGAGCGCAGCGAGTACAGCGCTGTAAAGCGCCAGTGTAATCAGAGCCTGCAGCGCTGCACGCTCGCTTGCAGTGCTGCAAGCTATTCCCCTTGGAGAGGTGGAGTACATACAGCGCTGCGAGAGAGCTCTCGCAGTGCTGGCGGCGCGACTACACTCACGCTTCACAGCGCTGCCGCGGCAACGCTGGGAAGTCCCGAGTGTAGCCAAGGCCTTTGTCTTTCAGAGGTGTGGATTTTTCCCACCCTGGAGAGATGTTGCTATGCCGATGTAAGTTTCCAGTGTAGACCTGCCCTAGGGCTTTTCTTTTTTAAAAGCTGATAAATGTTAGCAATTGAGAAAACGAAGGATGAATAGAGTGGACATATGCTGTGCAAACGTCCCTTAAGCATTTACACCAAAAGCACCTCAGTCCTGACGTGCAGCATGTCCTGCTGTTCTCCTCCTGGGTTCCCTTACAGCCCCGCTACTGCCCATTAATCCCGACCTGCAGCTTACTGCTACTCCAAAACTGGACCTCCCCTGAAGAGACTGCCAGTTGTGCCAGTCTGTGTTGGCTTTGCAATATGGACAGAGGGGCACAAGGGAGTAAATTGAAACTACTGAACTCGTTAGGCCTCAGGTGAAATAAGACAAACTCAGGTGCTTAGAGGTGAAAATCTAAATGTCCCCCCTTTTAACCACTGCCTCATTGTTTGTGGTTTTGTTCTCTTTGTTTGCAGGGTATCAGACAAGCTGAAGCAAGCCCCACAATCTCTGATGGAGGTCAACAGCACAGACCCTGGCCTAGTGCTGTCAGAAAATGAGTCCCTCTTGTCCCTCAGCGAGCTGGACTCTGCCTTCTCTCAGCTCAAGAGCCGGCTTCAGAATGTCACCCTGCAGCTGGGAGGGACCAGGGAGACTGCTGTGGCACAGGGACCCCGGAGACATGTGCTCCTGATGGCCACCACCCGCACAGGTTCCTCCTTTGTGGGAGAGTTCTTCAACCAACAGGGCAACATTTTCTATCTCTTTGAGCCATTGTGGCACATCGAGAGGACAGTGTCATTCGAGCCAGGCGGAGCAAACGCGGTGGGATCGGCCCTCGTCTACCGAGATGTCTTGAAGCAGCTGTTGCTCTGTGACCTCTACATCCTGGAGAACTTCATCACCCCTCTCCCTGAGGACCATCTGACCCCATATATGTTCCGGCGGGGCTCAAGCCGCTCCCTGTGCGAGGACCCTGTTTGCACCCCTTTCGTCAAGAAGGTCTTCGAGAAGTACCACTGCAAGAACCGCCGCTGTGGCCCCCTCAACATTACCCTCGCTGCAGAAGCCTGCCTGCACAAGAATCACATGGCACTCAAGACAGTGCGAATTCGGCAGCTGGAGTTCTTACGACCCCTGGTCGAAGACCCTCGCCTAGACATGAGGATCATCCAGCTGGTGCGGGACCCCCGGGCGGTGCTGGCCTCTCGCATTGTGGCCTTCTCGGGCAAGTATGAAACCTGGAAGAAATGGGCTTCAGAAGGAGCAGCTCCCCTCAACGAGGATGAGGTGCAGAGGCTGCGGGGGAACTGCGAGAGCATCCGCCTCTCGGCTGAACTTGGCCTGAGGCAGCCAGCGTGGCTGCGGGGCCGCTACATGCTGATCCGCTATGAGGATATTGCCAGGTCACCTCTCCAAAATGCCAAGGAGATGTACAGGTTTGCTGGCATCAGCCTCACCCCACAGGTGGAGGAATGGATCCAGAAGAACACCCAGGCGCCTCAGGACAGCAATGGCATCTACTCCACCCAGAAGAACTCCTCAGAGCAGTTCGAGAAGTGGCGCTTCAGCATCCCCTTCAAGTTGGCCCAAGTGGTGCAGAGTGTCTGCGGCCCAGCCATGAGTCTGTTTGGCTACAAACTGGCCAGCGACCAAGAGACCCTCACAAACAGATCCATCAGTTTGCTGGAGGAAAGGAGGGCCTTCTGGATCACGTAAGATCTCACATCGCTGGGTTTCCGAACGGAAACATATGGTTAGACTGAAAAAAGAAAAACCTGAGCACAAGAACAGCTGGGGAAGCTGGAAAGGGGCCACTGTCCCCTGCTGACACGTATACACCCTCGTTTATAAGACTTGCGTTTGCCATGCACTCCTCATCCTAGCGAGGTGCTTCCTGATTCTCCAGTGGACAGCAGGGGGAATGCAGTAACATCCAGGAGCTCTATCTAGATGGATTATAACGTGGCCACCCTTTGAAACTAAATGGAGCTCAGAAGCTGGCAGTGGGGAGAACCAAAGCAGTAGGTACTAGCTTCCATACCTCACCTCTTAGCTTTCTTCTCTGCACAAGCGCCACCCTTCTTTCAAAGGGCATTTCTGCACTAAACCTCCAAAGAGAGAATTGTATGTTTTAAAAATCTTCGTACACTTTAAAATCCCTCATCTCGCCGAGCGAGGAGGTGAGTGGAGCCGAGGGTTGCACTGATATCGCCTTGGGCAAACGTAAAGACCTCGCTAAGCTGTATTTGGTTGGGTTGATGGAACTGTCAGAAAGGGACTTGGTTGGGGTTTGTTGCCAAGAAACCTCTTAGTAAATCCCCAGTGACAGGATCTGGGAGACTCTCTCCTCCCATCCTGACTGCTGCTGCCTTACGCTGACAAACACTCATGTCTCGGACACTTTGTGCATGTCTGTGGACCTTTAAATATACCAACAGCCTGTTAAACCTTGAGAGATGTGACTGAGTCCTACAAGGGTGAGCACATTCCCTCAGACCATGCTCTCGGAAGAGCAAAATGCCAGGACATCGAGAAAACTTGTAGCAGAGCCAGCAAACAGCCACACCATGATCACTGGCACTGGTGCAGCATTTTCCACCTCAGCTGCTTGTTATCAAGTGGACCAAAGCCAGCAGCTGAGAGATGGCAGGGAGACAATGAAAACACTATTTAAAAGAGAGAGAGAGACTTAGAGAGAGAAAGCGAAAGCAATGCTCTCTATCCCTGGGGATTCAACTGGTCTCCTTCTAAGGTGCCATCAGCTGTTTTGTCTTCCACCACCACGGAGGCTGGATTCCTCAGTGATCGTTTGCTGGTGTCTAGAAATCGATACTGAAAGCTTTCTTGGCTGGTGGTGGCAGGGTGTTTCTGTAATGGTATTTATATTTTGTCCTTGCTATTGTTTGTATATCTTTGGAAGTGCTAGTTGGAGGCTGACAGCAATTCTCCTGCCCAAAGTAAAGGGGAGTAGTTTGTACCAATTAGCTTTTTGTGGCAGGAGAGGGGGGAGGAGAGAGACTGGGATGCAGGCAAGTGGGAACTCATCCAAAATTAGGCAATAGGAATAGTTTCCATAACAGAAAGAGATGGTCTCAGATTGCAACAGACGAATTCCTAGCCTGTGCCGCCCCTTGTCCAATCCACAGTTAGGTTAGGTTTTTGCTTCCTGGAGTTTGTTCTCTTCCCAGGGCAACCCAGAGACTACTCCAGAAGAGGTCTTCAGACTCCTTTTCAGCCCCATCATTATTCTGAGATACCCATTGAGTCCCCTCACCCTTAAATACATCCTCAGGGAAGAAACATGGAACAAGATCTGAGCTGGGAGTGGGGATTTTTTTAGTAATTTTTGAAGGGGCAGCATCAGTTTTTTGTTTTAAATCAGATTTAAAGGGATACTGTCAACACAGCAAACTTCTCTCTGAAACTTATCTTTACTTCCTGTTGTCACAGATTATTCAAATTTAGAGAGATTGCAAGAGACATTTCTCTGTTTTTCAGTGTGTTTACTTTGTGCATTTATCAGTACTTTAGGCAGTCAGTTTCATCCGTGGTTGGATTCACTTCCTAATCTCATGCACTAGCCTGAGAGAATATCAGAATTCTCATGCACAAGGGTGGGGGCGGGCACAGCTAGGCAGGGGAGCAGTCCTCCTAATCTCCCATGGATCCATGGACATGGCCTGGGAGCACTGGTAAACTGGAGCTGGACAGCAGGTAGACGGAATAAGCTGTTGCTGACATGGGTGATCAGCATAGGGGAGACGCTAATGCAGGAGGGGGATCCAGGCACGTCTTGTTTATGGCCATTGTTGTGCCGGAGCACACCCCCGTTTGAGCAACTGATATGAAATCGACAAGGGAAAGAGAAACATACAAAAATAAATGCAGGATAATAGCTGAAATTCTCAGCCCTCAGTGTACTTTAACATAGTGTATGCCCCCAACGTACACCCATGTAAAAAAAGAAAAAATTGACAGTGTCCCTGTCACAGGGAGAGCTAGGTGGCACCTCCTCCTGGTCGCTCTGGGGAACAGCTCTGTCCAACTCCGGTGCCCCCTTCTGCTGCTCACTGCATGCTCTGCTGTCTCTGACTCTCTGTGACTCAAGGGGCTCTGTTTTTGTGGTTTGGCCCTCCAGCCAGATCACTATAGTCCTCCCCTTCCAGGGTAACAAAATAAATCTCCAAACCAGCTGTCCTGAGCTCCTCTCCAGTGCTTCTGTGCCACTTCCCAGTGGTTGGTAGGAGAACCCAGGCCTGCCCTCTATACTGGGTTCCAGCCCAGAAACCTTGTAACAAGCAGCCAAGGTCTGCATGGTCCTACCCCTTGCTGCTGTTTTCCCTGGGCTTCTTCCCACCTAGCTCTCTCAGGCTTCCTTTCCCCACAACTACTCTGGGGTTGACCCTTGTTCTAGGGTTAGAATCCTGGTGCTTATTCTCCCTCTGGGGTTTTCACCTCCCCTCCTCTGTGCTCCCAGAGAGCAACCTCGGAGTCTCCCTGCAGTCCCCTTCTGCAGCAAACTTCCTGGCTTTATAATCCAGTCTGCTGCAGCCCAACTGAGTCTCTTGTTCAGTTAAGCCTGGCTTTCCCTCCTGGTACAGCCAGGTACCTAGGGTAACCAGACAGCAAATGTGAAAAATCGGGACAGGGGGTGGGGGGTAATAGGAGCCTATATAAGAAAAAGAACCAAAAATCGGGACTGTCTCTATAAAATCGGGACATCTGGTCACCCTACAGGTACCCTAATTGGTCCCTGAGGCCCACATTAACCCTTTCAGGGCCTGTGTGGAGTACATACCCATCACAGTTCTCTTTTTTTTAAAAAGCAACAATCCACATCTCCCTCCCAGGGTTACTAACAACACCTTATATTGTTAAACTGAAATAGTTTTTTAAAGATATGAATTTATTTTATGCTAGTTATGCAGTTTGTCCAAACTGAGATGCAGAAAGTAATCAGTGAAAACAGACCTGGCAGCTGGGGTGCTGGAACAATTTTTATAGTGGGGCTGTTGAAAGCCATTGAACCAAACTGTAAATGATGGAAACCTCTTCAAGCCAGGGGGTGCAGCAGCACCCCCAGTTCCAGCACTTATGCCTGGCAGTTTCATTTTTCAGCTCCCTTGTACTAGCACAATTCTTTCTGCAGTGTTTCGGTTGCAGATATTGCAAAGAGAATGTTGCTACAAAAAGGTTGAAACTGTTTCCAATTGAGCTTAAAAATAATCATGAAAACATTGATTAATAGCAGGTTTTGTAAAAAAATAAAAATAAAAAAAAAATATATATATTTTTCTATCCCTACATTTGGGGCCTAAGCTATCTTTACAGTTTTTCAAGGAATTACTTATGGCTAAATGAAGCTTAGAGAACTGAAAAGAAATTAACAAATATATGCTTCAAAGGGTGCTTTTCTATGTATGCCCTTGCAACTCACGTGTGGAGTTGTTTGTGAAACCCAAACTCTGCACCCACTGAAGAGCACATTTTAAATTACTACCTATAGGTATATAAACCATAAAGGGCAACTATACAACAGCTTCCTCCTTCAAGCTCACAGACCCTCCGGTGCAAACAATCATTTTTGACCTCTCTTTCTTTAATATTCACATTATGTCTTCTATCTGACTCATCCTATATTATAATTTGTTTACCTTTGGAAAGGTAGCAGACTTAGGCCTCAATTCAGGAAAGCACTTTAAGCACACCTTAATGTTAAGCATGTGCATAAAAACTGTCCTGAACAGAGGTGCTTTCCAGAATAAGGGCCTTAATGCATACTGGAGCATTTCTTCAATATACTCAAGACAACAAGAGCTATAGGTACAGCACGAGGGGCCCTATTTGCAATTGCCTTCTACCTTGTGTCATCATTTGCATCAGTGTAAAGTGGCTGTAAAAGGTCCCCAAACCAAAATGGTAATGGTTTACACAATATGACCACCCAGTGGACCTGAGCCAAGGCCCATTTAAATCAATGGAAAGACTCCCACTGACTTTGACAAGTTTTGGATCAGCACCAAGGTGCAGGGTAACCATGAATCAGATCCATACTGCGCCTTGATCAAACTTACTTTGCCAGCTCAAGCAGGGAGCCCCCAGTGGAAACAGTCCTGTTGCAGTTGGTAGGGGAGAGTGTGTTTACCTGGAGCTCCAACCAGCACTTTGGTTCTGAGAAGTGAGGCGTTATTATTGCTATTGTTTGTTTTGTTTGTGCTTTTCAAAAGTTTATTTTATTTTTTTTGTCTACAAGGGCTGCAGTCTGGCAGGAAAGAAGCTGCCACTTCCTGCAATATGTAGAACTGTTCAGAGAATGGAGGGTTTAATATTGTAAACTGCAAGGGGAATTTATTTATTTATTATGTGAAAAAGAGGGGAAATATTTTATTAGCAGGGAGTCTGAGCTACACCCAAAAACAGGCAGACAACAAATATCCCAAGAAATGGAAAAAAGGTAAACAATTAAACTCAGAGCAGCACAGTTATGATTTCAAACAAAATGCTGTTGTTTTGAGAAGTCTGTTTTTCTTAACACCCAGAAACAAACAAAAATCACACTTCTGTCTCAAAACTGCTAACTGCTGTTGTTACAAGTAACCTACCTACACACTCTATAACTGAACCAGATTAGGTTCACTGTTCTCTGTTATTGGCGGAGTCGGGGGGCTTCGCACAGCAACAGGAAGAAAGAAAATGTCTTTTTATTTTTTTAAGGAAAGCGTGGTTGAAAAAAATCTCAAAAATTGGCAAACTCACGCTGAGTAGGACATGAAACTATTTGTAGCACTTTTAAAATGACAGCCTTTCAAATGGCCCATTTCACAAGCTGAGAGCTTGTTGACACTGCGTTATGTCGGTATAAGTTATCTTGCTCAGCGGTGTGAATAAGCCATCCCCCACACAACGTAACTTATACTGACCTAAGCGCCGGTGTGGACAGCACTATGTTGACATAGCTACCATCCCTTGTAGAGGGAGTTTTATTGTGCTGACGAGAGAGCATCTTCACCAGACATGCTACAGTGGCGCAGCTGTGTCGGTGCAGCTGTAGCGTTCTAGTGTAGACTAGCCCTGAGACACACAATAAATCCCAGACAGGACAAAGGCTTTGGATATAATTTTATGGCCTGGGAAAACACAGAAATGCACAGGAAGTGAAAGGGTACATGCCGCCGTGGCATAAAAGAATGGCTGTTGCCTCTGGGGAGCCCATCTGGAATCAGACCTGTGCATAATGAGAAGTAAATATAGGGGTTTCAGTCCCCCCCGGGGGGAGCTGATACCAGGTGCCCTCATCCCAAGAGATGGGGAGAAAGGGTGCAATAGTCAGAGCTGAGGTTATTTGGTAGATGAATGTGGGATATGTGACTAGATATGGAAAGCCAAATCCTGCCACGATTTACACCTATTGCAATCACACAGGACTTCAGTGGGTCTTAAATCAGGCTAGGATTTGGCCTAGACACTGGAATTCTGTCTCATTGCAGGAGCAGTCCCTCAGGGCAGGGCTGAATTCATTAGCAGCTCATGGGAATCACGCTGGATGGCTACCTTCTCTGTACATAGCCCTGGGATAGACAGAGGGAGTCAGTTCTCTGCTCAGCCAGTCACTTGACCTTCCCAAGCACAAGAGAGTCATTCACCAGTTATTTGTTTATTTAAAGGTTTTTTCTCTCTCCATGAACATATCTTCAGGCTGGAGGAGAGAGACAGTCTCTGACCTTGGCACATAAAAGGACTATTCCTCTGTGTTCCAGTTATTAGACCTGGAAAGGGAAATTTCTAACACCACATTCTTTCTCTGGTGTATTCGATAGAGCTACACATTCTCTCCCCCTTCTCTGTCCTATAGGACAGGGACCAGGCTCAGGTGCTAGAAGAAAGCACTGCATGCAGTCAGCCTGTCGTGCTCTCCTGAACCTCAACTCCCTTGCGGTACTGCAGCATAGCAACCTCCAGCTATCAGGCTAGTTCGTGGAGGGAGGGTCCTTCACTCACCAACGTTTCGGGTGTGGAGAAGCGTGAAGAAAGAGCAGGAGCTGGCAGCAGGGTCTGAATGGAGCCTTTGACTTGCGGCTATGCTGCGTGTCACCCCAGGCTCACAACTGCCATCTGTGCTCCTAAGGCTGTAAAATGGAGAGCTGCTTTATTACTTCAGCTGTTTTCTTCCTTCCCTTCTTCCTCCTCTCATCCGTCTTTGCTTGTCAACTCAAAGGGAAGAATCTCAGGCGCCTGGCCCTCTTCAATGGCTGACATCACACCGCCCAGGAGAGCTGTTCCATGTGTTTAAAATCAGAACGCCCGCCTCCAGGAAAGTCGACGTAACTTTAGCTGCAGGGGCTTTCCGCATTGTCGGGGAAAATTCAAGGAGGCAGGAGGCAAGGGAGGGTAGGCCACAGCATCAGGCAAGCTTCAAAGGGAAATGCACTGGGATGGGGTTCCTTGGGCAGCTGGAAGTGTGCACCTAAGGGAGTCCAGCATCCCTCGATTATTTATCTGGATGCAGAGAACTCTGTGCTGCCACCTAGGAGTTTTTACAAAACTAAATTAACAGCTAAACCAATGTCCAGATATTTTCTTACTGGCCCTGTGTTAAGGGTTTAGCTTGAAGGCTTGCCTGGCTCCATAGCAGTGATATTACACAGGGTTTTTTACACTCCGGGAGCCACTGTGGTCTGCAGGCCCTGGAAGCGCTGACAGACACATCCTCTGAGGAGAGTACTCAGTACTCTAGTTTGAATCTTCCATGCACAGAAATGAATGTGAACCTTGTAACCAGTTAGAAGATGGTTGACTTGACTTATTTAATTAAAAACACAATGGAGCAGAATCCAAAAAGGCATCTCTTGTCTCTCTGGCATTTATTCACTTGTTATTTTTGGCAGCGGGAGAAGTGTAGACATTAACAGCAGCAGATGCAGCAGCTGGTAAGAGTCTCTGTGTAACATGCTCCCCTGGGGCAGTGACTTGCTCTCCTTATCCGTGTAGCAGCAGCAACGGCATTCAGAGTCAACACATTAGAAGACGCTCGGGAAAATAAGATCTGGGGATGAAAAAGGAAACTGCTCTGCTGACAAGAATTTAAACAAGAGCTAGTCGCCCCTCCCCTACCCCAGTGGTACTGAGCACTCAACTCCCATTCACTCTAATGGAAGTTGCAGGTGCTCATTTCCAATCAGGAGGGCTGTGTGGCAGCTGTTTAGCAAACCTTGGTATCAGAGCTTTGTGCACAAGGGCTGGTGCTATCTCCAATACTGCAGAGATGGAGAGAAAAGTTGGTTTCAAATCCATCAGAAGTATACAGAGGAATGTTACCACCCATCAAAGGGAAAAGAAAAGGCTAAAATGAATGTGGGAAATATCATCTTCAGGAACCTAAGACGACTTAACAAACCAGAGAGAATCATTGGGCTTCACCCTGTTTCTTTTCCTCGCCCATAATCAGGCATCCATGGTGGGACTCACTGCAGCTCAGAGGCAGTGGGAGGAAGGCAGCCCAGGTTATTCTGGGTAAATGATGGGATGGAGACAGCCACTGGCTCAGTCTCACTTTGCTCAGGGTTTTGCATACCTATGGCCAGCCCTGGAGCTGGTGTAGGAAGATGCTGCAGTGAAGTGTTGGACCTACCCATCCCCAGCAAGCATCTAGCTGGAGGAACACCATTCACTCTGGATTTTTAATGAGGCTGTTTCTATCTCTCAGCTCCAAAACGTTCTGCCCAAGTATCCAGTCATTTGTGAAATATCTATGTTCTGGGATGTTGCTGCCTCGATTTCAGGTACAAGTGTTTTACTGCCAAAATTGTGCAGGCTAGAATCTGAGGGCACTGCCCCCTTTGTCCTGCCAGGCTCCAGGGTGTAAAGAAAAGAGGCTTCTTTGGGTCATAGGGCCTTACTTTAGGCATCTTTCAGCTGCAAATCTTGTCACGCTGCCTGGAGTGGCTCACGAGCAGGAGTGCCGACCTCAGGGCTAACGGTTAAAACCAGGGCAGACACCCCAAGCTAGCGGTATGTTCTGTAATTAAATTTCACCAGCCCAGGAACAAATGTGAACTCCTGGATTGCTGTAACAGTCTTATCTCGGAGCATACCTTTATGCCCTCCAGTCTATCTTGCCACCCAGGCAAGATGGACTAAATGATAAATGGTCACTTACACCAAGAATCACAAAATATTCAGGTTTCTCCCAGTTCCAAGAGACCAGTCGCTTACCCCAGATCAACTTGTATCTTAGTTCTTACACCAAAGACAATGCCTGTAGCCAACCCTCTAATAAGTTAATTATAGGTTTATTAACTAGGGAAAAGAAATGAGACCGTTATTTACAGGTTAAAGCATGCAAGCATATACGCACAAATGCGTTACCATCTATGGCTCCTAAAGATGACAGAGATGTAGTAATCTGTCAATTCAAAATGTCTTTCAGGGTGGACCCAGGGGTAACCCCTGGGGATCTCTGCCTTAATTTAGCATCTCTGGCCCTGTGAAAGTTCAAACAGCAAAGAGACGAAAACATTTCTTGTAACTCCGTTTTATTTTACATTTAGCCTTCCAGTCTATGGGCTGGTGCACACTACACAGTTAGGTCAACCTAAGGGGGGGAGCCGTGAAATTGACAAGAAATCTGGTTAGCTAGAGCCCAGTTGTCCCCGGCTCCCCTGGAGAGCCAGGGCGAGAATGGCCCTTGCTTCTGGCTGGGAGCTGGGGTGAGAAGCCTGGGCTATCCCTTCCCCTCCACTCCCAACTGGGAGCAGGGGTGAGAAGCCTGGGTGGTATTATCCCCACCCCCGACTCCCACCTGGGAACATTAGCTGTCTTGTCAATTTCACAGCTGCCTGGCTCCCAGCGGGGAGTGGGTGGGCAGGGGGTGAGAAGCTAGACCCCGCTCCCTAGGGCAAGAAAACCCAGGCGGCTTCCCCCCACTCCCGGCGGGGAACAGGGAGGTGAGAAGCCCTGGGCAGTTTCCTCCCCACTCCCAGTGGAGAACGGGAAGGCGAGAAGCCCTGTGCAGCTTCCCCAGCTCCCAGCGGGGAATGGGGAGTGGGGGTGGGGAGGGCAGCCCACTGGGTGCCTATGTGACAGCTGGTAGGGAACTGCCAGCAGAGCTGAGAGATCAGACTTTCAATTCCCCACACTGCCCCTCTGAGATCGGTGGAAGCACTCCTGGTGAGGGCACGCACTACTGCTCCAAGGAGGGTAATATGGACATGCATCACTGCAGTAATTACTGCAGTGGCTATAAATCGACCTAATATAAGTTGACTTACGTTTCCAGTGTAGACATACCTATGAGATGAGATGCTTCTTTGCATGTAGCATTTCCAAGGTGTGATGGGGCCATTCACCAATCTTTTGTATCCTGATGGCCTGTTTAATCTTGATAGGCATCCTTAATGGGCGGGGGAGGGGAGGAGGAGATGATTAATGTGCCTGGGTTCACAAGTTCAGTGCAAACATTTTCAAAGTTATAAAGCAAAACTTAAATTTGTCGTTCTACCACAGACTTACAAGTGAGATTAATGCATGCAGCAACATACAAGCATTTCATAGAATCTAAACACTAAATACATTCTTACAAAACTAACATACAGAGAGCTGGTTTGGTTTCCAACTATGAGTTTGCTAGTTCTTAGCTAACGCCTATGGCCTTGGCCAGAGCTGGCACTTGGTTTACCAAGGTCACAGGCAGATTTCCCAAAATGAACTAGGGCTCAGCAGAAAGGGTAACACGAGCTCTTGCCTCCAGAGTATTTTGTCCTCACCTCACAAATGCAACAGCAAGCACAACAGAAATGGACCCGTTTTTTTAGAGAAAGGGTGATTTTGCCTGGAGAATGGGAAAATTCACACATGCCTGTCTTTTCATTGCTAACATAGCCACTTTACAAACATTGTCAATAAAATTCAGCCACAAGGAGACACCAGTGAAAGTGTTTGTGCCAAACTTTGTGAAACAACAATTGTGAATTTCACACAGATCTATTAATGAGCTTGTATACAAATGCTCGTAATGGGTATACATTTCAAAATGGCTGGACACAGGCTCCAAATAGTAAACAGGTCCCCTGGAGGTGTAATCTTTTAATAGCTAGTAAAAGACTTGCTAAATGCAGCCCTGCAGTTTATTGAGAGAACAGGCAGGTAGTAAAAGCTCAGCAGGACAAGGTTTACCCAAGTGCTCATAGCTTGGAGAAGAAAGGACGAGCACGTCTCATTCACTGGGACAGGTGGACAAGGGATAGCTGTGTATGACTGTACTCCTTGAAAGAAAAAGTAAGTGTGGACTTGCTGGTTTGTTCAGGTGCATGCATGCCTGCTTGTGTCTATCTTTGTATGAAAGTGTATGTATGTGTCTGTGAACATGAATGCGTATCTGCAGGCAGATGTATGTCAGCATGTACATCTGCAAATATGCAAATCCATGATCGTGTGTATGTGCATGTACACAAGTCTGTGTGTATATCTGTGTGTGACTGCAATCAATTGGGAATATGCATAAACAAGCAAATGGCGGGGTGCATGTACACATTATGGGCCCTCGCAGAAGAAATAATGTACTCAAAAAATGTCTGCAGTGATTCACACGTAACCTACACATTGGGGCACTATTAATTCCTTCCACTGTGATAAAGGAAGATGTCTGCAGTGTGAACACTAACACCTCATTCAACAGCTAGATCCAAAAATCACAAATTGATCCTACAGGCTGTTTCACTGCTGCCTGGTATTTCCACAGCTAAGCAGCAAAAGTGACTTGTCATGTGATCCAAAAAGCTGCAGAAGACTGGCATTAGCAGACCAAATGGTTCAGCCGGGGCATAGGGCAAGTAATTCTCCCCATTAAGACAGGTCAGACCAGCAAGGAGTGGCAGAGCAGTTGATGATTGCTGAGAAAATGCCTGTGATGTCAGGCAGAGAGGATTATGATTTAAGATGTAGGATAAGCAGTAGGGCAGATGGTCTTTTCCTGTGCCACTGCTCCTGCTCTCTTCCTGGCTTCTGTTCCATTTCCTTAGACTATATTGTACACGCTACACTGATTCTGTCTGCCCCCTCCCCTAGGGTGACCAGATGTCCCGATTTTATAGGGACAGTCCCGATTTTTGGGTCTTTTTCTCATATAGGTGCCTATTATCCCCCACCCCCTGTCCCGACTTTTCACATTTGCTGTCTGGTCACCCTCCCCTCCCCCCATCTAGATCATACATCTCTGTTCCATTGAATTCCCTGAAATAATACAAATCTCTCCAAACCCACTTTCCTTCCAACATTTCAGTGAGCAAATCTCCAGTATAGTAAATTAGTACACAAAAACCTTCCATAGGAAAGAGTTAAGGTGCAAAGTGTGTATCAATAGAACAGGCAAGGGATGCAGGTTCACCCCTGTCATATATTCCTTCTTCGCATAGGCCAGGGTCTACACACACTAGTTTAACTAAGGGTATGTCTACACTTGCAGAGTTTTTGTGCTGCAAGTTTCACTGGTGATAGGGAACCGGTGAAAGTAACGTGTTGGTTTGTGTTCTCACTTACTTCCTCCGGCGTCAGAGAGTGTTTCCATTAGCAGCACTTCCATCGCCTATGAGAACAATGCTCTAGGGCAGCTATCCCACAGTGCAGCTCTCTCCAGTTTGACGATGGTTCTTGTGGGAAGGGAGGCGGGGAATGACGGGGCATCCTGGGTCCCTGCACAGCCTCCTTTCCCCAAACACTGATCAGCTCCAGTAGCTCAGCATTGCTCCAAGCAGGGGATCATTTGCTGCGTGGAGCAGGCATTGTCACCTGGCCAGGTAAGTGAGCACTTGCCAGAAAAACAGGAAGGGGAGTTTCAAAGTTTCGGGGGCTTTACAGGGGGAGGGGTGGATGTCTGTTTACCTGGCAACAGAGCAGCAGAGCTGCTGG